CTGAATCTCAACCACCGACGAGCTCTGTCAATGTAAGAACTGAACGGACCATCAACTTTAAGAGTTTGTTGCAACAAGAAAATGAGACAAAAACTAGCAGAGGATTTGCCACATCCATAACAACAGTAAAAAAAGACAAGAAACCCTCGTAACACAACAACAAAAATAGAGACAAAGACCATAAGCAACTAAACGAGATAACAGATTGAACAAAAACATAGTAAAAGAGACCCGAAACACACAAAAAAAAAAACCCGAAAACTCCCAATAAATGCAAGCCAAAAAATGACTGAAGAATACTTGAAAATTTGCAAGGATCGAGATCAGAATGGTGATTAGGAAAAAAAAGGAAATAGAATTTGTAGAAAATAAAAAAAAATCGGCATCTGTAGGCTCTAGATCAGAGAAAAGATGAAAAACGAGGAGGGAAACACTATGTAACTCCTCCTTCCCTTGAGAAGCAGGATCCAAAAAAAGGAGTGAGATAATGAAATTTTGAGTATCGCCGGAGCTACTTGCCGGAAATCACCTCTTGAGTTGACTCGAGATATTGGCGAAGAATATATGGGTGTTTCGGAAGTTGTTATTTTAGTAGGTTTTTTTAGATTTTGATTATTTTTGGAGAAATTTTTTTTGTGTTTGGGAAGATAGATAGATTTTTTTTGTAGTTAGATATGATATTTGTGAGAGAAAATGTGAAATGATTATGAGTTTGATGTGATATTTTATCTAAATTTGTTTTTTTTTAGTTTTTTTTAACCTATTTTGTCTTTTAGCAAAATACTAACAAAGAAAAATAAAAAAAATTAAAAAAAAAAAAAACTCTTCCCAAACACCCCATATATTTATCACTATTTTTTTTATTATTTTAAAATTATTAAAGGAACAATTACTCAAAAATATAATTTGGAAAAATGTTACTCTATTTAGTCGTGGAAGTTTTCTTCCAAGCCAATTAGTTCTATTTATTTATGGTATGTTGTTTTTATTTAATTTGAAAATTGTGGAGTTTATTTGTTTGCCTTTAGATATGATTTTGCTTGTGATTTTTTTTTTTTCCCTGATGTTTGGGTGGGTTAGTTAAGGTATGGTATTATGTTGCAAAATTTTTTAGAGATTGCTTGGAATGATTTGTGGGGTTGATGATGTTACCCATTTGATGTGTGTTTCTGATATGGAATCGTGGGTTGTTGATGGATGTGATTTTGTTTTTGATTTTTTTCTTGATGTTTGGGTGGGTTTGTTATGGTGTTATGTTTCCTTCTTTTTTTTTTTTTTTTTTTTGAAGATTGCATGGAGTAATTTGTGGGATTGATGATGTTACCCATTTGATGTGTCTTTCTGATTGGAAACGTGGGTTATTGCTTTAGGGGGTTGTAGTTGTTGTTTTTTTTTTGTTCAATTGCTTCTTCGGGTGCTGTGTTGTTGACGTGCTGTACAGCAATTTGCAAGTTGGTTTCATTGCTGTGTTGTCAACGTGCCGTGCGACATTCTTGCAGGTCAGTTTCATATGTTGTTTTGTTGTTCGTTCAATGTCTTTGGGTGTGGTTTCGTTTTCGTAGGTGTGTCGGGAAGTCTAAATTTAAGGTGTCAATGTTATGTTGCTATTCTAGGGGTATATTTTGATTGATTCTATGCTGGATGGGTTGTGCTTTTCGAAATAGTGGTAGAAACTTATAGGACACCATTGAACCGTTTACCATGTTAAAGAATTTTGAGTAGCATATTACGGGTCTATTCACCCAATTCCGACGGTAGCCAAATCCAAGTTCACACCAGCAGATTACCTAATTGCTCCACCTATTGTTAAGTGACCGTCCGAAAGACCCCAACGGAAGAGGATCCCATCCAAGGGTGAGGTGGTGTTACGTATTCGTTGTGGCTACTGTGGCAAAATGGGTAATCATAACAGGAAAATATATAAGGAATTGATGTAATGCATTGACACATATGGTTGATGGACATATCCAGCACGATTACATCTTTTATGATCGATCATCAAATAATTTCCTATCTTATTCACATTCACACTTTGCCACATGCGAAAACAGTTGTGGACAAGTTTATCTTAGTAGGAGTCTATGACATTTTGTATCTTCAATATGTGTTCGCTGGGTGCATGGAATACACTTTATTATATAAATGGAATTTATATTGGATTTGCAATTTTTTATCAAATATTTATGTTTTTATCAGATTACTAGATAATTAGTATGATGAAATGGGTTGTGTTACAATATGACTAAGGGGGTTTGATGAGATGGGTTGTGTTACAATATGGGTATATGACAACATGAACTTGGGGGATGGATAGGTGTAACATTCATTTTTTCTTGCTGTGTTGTTGTTTATATTACCAAACATTTTGGCCAATGGACGTCACATCCGGAGCGTATTGGACTATTTATTACATCATTTTTATTCAACTTTATCTTAGGGTGAAGTGGGTTCTGAACATTAAAACATACTGTCTGTCCTCAAGATTTGGAATGTTTATTACTTTGTTTTGTTCAAATCCATTTACTTCTTATTCTTTTTGTATTCAACTATTTACAACATCAATTTGTGAGAATCCAAGTGGGAGTGACACCAATGACTTAGGGTTTAATTTCAGCATGATGAGTTGTGACGAAATTTTACAAGCCATGCATGAAAAAGAGAAAGAGGGGGGGGGGGGGGGGGGGGGGAGAAAAGGTGGGTGCATGGAATACACTTTATTATATAAATGGAATTTATATTGGATTTGCAATTTTTTATCAAATATTTATGTTTTTATCAGATTACTAGATAATTAGTATGATGAAATGGGTTGTGTTACAATATGACTAAGGGGGTTTGATGAGATGTGTTGTGTTACAATATGGGTATATGACAACATGAACTTGGGGGATGGATAGGTGTAACATTCATTTTTTCCTGCTGTGTTGTTGTTTATATTACCAAACATTTTGGCCAATGGACGTCACATCCGGAGCGTATTGGACTATTTATTACATCATTTTTAGTCAACTTTATCTTAGGGTGAAGTGGGTTCTGAACATTAAAACATACTGTCTGTCCTCAAGATTTGGAATGTTTATTACTTTGTTTTGTTCAAATCCATTTACTTCTTATTCTTTATGTATTCAACTATTTACAGCATCAATTTGTGAGAACCCAAGTGGGAGTGACAACACTGACTTAAGGTTTAATTTCAGCATGATGAGTTGTGACGAAATTTTACAAGCCATGCATGAAAAAGAGAAGGGGGAGCGGGGGGAGGAGGGGAGAGAAACGTACACTATTTTCGATAAACTAATTTTACAGCTTGAATGCATACATACACCAACTACCACGTCAAACTACATTTGTCTCACCATATGATTAGGTAACCACAAATAAATCCACAATTGTACTTGTCAAATTCCCGTTACATTAACATAATTCGATAACAATATGATGTCTAAAATGATTATGGAATCAGCATTTTATAAGCTTTTGGATCCAACTAATGCACACGGATTGCCTCAATCATCAGCCAAAATAGGATTTTCTAGAATTGTCGAACCTGTCCATCGCTTAACTCTAACTCAAGCACTGTCTTTATCACATCAACGACATTGGAACGATACATTAGCCTCGACGGGTCGACTACAGGTCTTCTAACACTGCCTGTTCAACTTTTGTTTTTCTTGAATGGTAGTTGCGTTTGTTTCTTAGTGGCCAATCGGGTGGACATTTGGTCGGTCGCATTTGAGCAGAGTGTTCTCCCATCTTTTTTATGTTCACATCCTTGCCTGCCTGCACTATTTGCCATAACATAAACTTCAAATTATTAGTTCAATTGACGACAAAAAAAAAAAAAAACTAGAAATATAAACAATCCAACACATAAAGCAGCATGAACGTCACACTAAACCACGCATATGATTTAATTCTTACCGACAAAGCCACAAAATACAATACACATCATAAATGTTAAACAACTAGATTCCCCCGTAAAAACTCAACCACAAAGACGTAACAACTTCAAACGCCATCGAATTAATGACCAATCCGTAATGTTAAAACAATTTTGACACATTTTACCATATCTATCAACAAAAACAACACGACTTTCCAAACATGACGAGCACGTCATTAATTCGCGACCCAACATGGACAATGGGTTGACGACTTAAAAAAGTCATTCCACAACAACACCTCCAAAAAAAATCCTCATCGCATACCAAATTATTCAAACATAAAAAGTAATAACACCAACACAATCAATCAACACTACTTCCCTCCACTACCACATGAAGCGGCAAACAATCGCATGGACCAAATTGAGCATCACGTATATGACATGTACCAACATTACTTCCCTCCACCACCACCGAACAATGACTTTTAATGTGTTTAGATGAGCTATTGTATGGGATGAAAAATAAATATGCTTTTTTCCCCGTATCTGTATGTACAAATAGTTTACGTATGTATTGTTGTTCACTTTTACTTACCAACTATGCACATTTTCTGAGGATTTTCAATGCCACATATGTAATGGTTGTCTCTTATAATTCCTAGTTATAAAAACAATAACAATGAAAAAAAAAAGGTCAACAATTAACTACTTATAAAAATCTGTTAACTTCAAATTTAAGAACCAAATAAAATACCTTTCAAGACTTGTCGTCATCGTTGTTATGCTGCAAAATGAACCATAATGAGGAGGAAAAAAATCTGCATAATGTTTTTTTTAAATATTTTTGTTTTACTGCACTTTATAATACTGTACTTGGCCATTAATTTTTCTCAGTTTTTGTATTACAATGAATGTTGAATTTTTTTAATTGCACAGGAGTAAAGGAATAAACTTTAATTGTTTGGTTATATTTCTGTGTTACGAACGAGGTGTACAACGAAATTAACAAGCAGTTGCATATGTTAGCTTGTACTAATACATACATACAACGAAATTAGCTTGTACTAATACATACATACTACGAAATATGTATGTATTTTTTCACATCACATATCTACCCATGGCCACCATGATTTTGCCACATAGCAATAGCAAGTGCATCCCTGAAGTTCGATTGGTACGTCAACCCATGTTGTGACATGTCAACATAATTTGCTTCGCCGTCAACAAACCCCTTTGCAGCTGCTTCAGCCGCCATTTCATTATCAACTTTCATGAACAATGGGTACATCGCTGAATGCAAACAGATCCAATTATGTACTACACAACATGCAATCACAAGGGGTCCTTGTCTTGTTGACTTGTAATTTGGCATGGACCGCAATATTGGAAAGCACTTCTTCAGAACACCAAATGTTCTTTCTATGACATTCCGTAATGACGAATGTCGATGGTTAAACAATTTCTTGGGACCAAAATAATGACGGCCATGAAACTCTTGCAAGCGATATCGTTGGGAACGATATGGGGCAAGAAATCCAAGCATGTTCGTGAAGCCGGCATCAACTAAATAATACTTGCCTTTATGTCCAAAATGTAGGCAATGCTCAGTGAAGTACAGGTGTAGAAAATAGAACATTACAAACAGTACAGTGTGTTATTTGGTGACACTTACCATGGAGAGGGTGTGGGAAATGCAGATCACCTCTTGTGATTGAGTCAACCAAAACTACGTTGTCGTGGGCGCTACCTTCCCATCCAGAGTTGATAAATATGAACAACATGTCGAAGTCGCAAGCTGCTAGTACATTTTGCGCTACCGTAGCTTTGCGACCACGGAATGTATTTTGTCTTGTGGCAGGGACCCACGCATCCACTAATGTCCCATCGATAGCACCGATACAATCCTATGTCAGATGTAAACGTTTGACAGTAAACGCAACATAACTTTAGATATTAACTTCACAACAATAAAAAAAAAAATTTGTTGATAGAAAATGTGATTAGAAAATTACAGAACAAACATGTGGTCATACCTTGAACTAGGGAAAAAACCTCCTATCATTTAAAATTTTTGTCGGAATTTCATCTTCATTACGTGGTTTGATAACCGTTGTTGCAAGCTTGCAGGGTGCCCGCATAATGATTTTGATATGCCGACAAATTATTTCAGTGGAGTGTTGAAATCTATCGGCTAATAGTCTATGTCGGTCATTTTGTGCAAAAGTGCACAAAAAAATGGCAAGCGATTCTTCCACACTGATATGCATATGTTCAATTTCGATAAAGCCATTTTGAAGTAAGGTATCTTTCAATAGAATGAATGTTTGTGCATCCATGCGCATAATGTCCATCATTGTTTCTGGATGCCCAGTTAATAAGCTGAAGATGTAATCATCACCTTTAAATTGACAAGTGCGTTGCGGGTGTCTGGTGATTGCCGAATTCAACAACTCATTCATACAAGCAATCGTCAAGAAATCCATAAAATCTTCAACAACGTCATCGTCCTCTGATGAACTCTCGAAACCATGGTGTTCTTGGTCGAATGACATATTGTTTCGACTACATGGCAATAACGCAAAATTAAAAACCACAATGGCCATTATCGTAGTCTACGTTGTGTGTGACATTGAAAATTGAAATAGAAATAAGAAAGTAGACATGAAGTAACGTACATAAAACAGCAACAATCTCAGCGAAATATAGCAAGAAACATAGAAAGATGGAAAGAAAAATAGTAAGTCATCAGGTGGAAAGGAAATATAATAAAAACAAAATAGACATCATGAACTCATATTGCACAACGAAAAAGAGAATCGCATGCCCCATCAATGTAGAACTTGCCCCCGCACTGCAAAGCTAGGATTATAGGTAGGTGCATATGGGGAGGAGTTCGCATGAAAAACCTCCTCCATTCCTTGTCCTTGAATAGTGTCAGTGCCCTAATGTACTGCACCGGTGGAATGTCCCCAAGCGCTAGTAGTGCATTTTGACATGCATCAAGGGAATAGTCATTGCCACCTGCACTTACAGCCTCCGTTTCTATTGACCGGGCACGAGAATGTTTCGTTCTTGCCTGTACGTATGTAGTGAAAGCTGCACAAACATCATCAAAGCCACTAGACCGTGATCTTTTCGAACGGCCGCTATCAGTCTGGCTACTTGCAAGGGCCCTCTTGTGACTTTTACCTTTCGATGGTTGTACAAAGTCATCGCCGAAAAGGTCAACAGCAGCAGGTTCAGCCGCATTACTCCCACCAGCTCCAGGCGACCAAAATTTATTAAGCATGTCGTTCTCTTCATCAGAATCAAGGGCTCCTTGTGTGGATGCACGGGCCAATGCCCATGTGGCATAACAATTTTCCATGATTTCTAACATTTCTTGAAAATACTCAAACCCTTTTGCCCTAAATTTTTTCACATTTTTTGTTGCCTACAACAAAGGTAAATATGACAACTAAGCGTACTGTATGTGTGATGAAATGAAAGAATACATTAATAAAAGGAAACGAATTATGCAATACCTTATCCTAAAATTCATCTGATGCAACAACCGTGCCTGCAATTGGATCCCATCCCAAACCGGTCTGTGCTTGTAACTTTTTGAAGGTTTGGTAATCAGTTTTTAGTCGCTGATATTTTTGTCTCACTTGATTTGGTGTGTATCGAAAGCCGTATAAATTTTGCAATTGCGTGGCAAAATGAGTCCAATGCCTAGTGGTCCACACAGTACTACGGCCTATTGATTGATTTTTTTGAACCTCGGCTCGCAACATGTTAATGAATTTCATTTCAATTCTAGAACTCCACATTCTTGTATCCTGATTATCATCAGAATTGTTGCTATCCATCTAACAACACAGAATTTATAACTACAAAAGTCTGAAATGTATATTGAAAAATAACGATGCAAGAAGTGTGTGCAAGTTGGTTTGAAAATAATGAAAAATTATTCGTTTGAAGTTGTTGACAGCGTAGAGAATAACAGATACAACAAAAACATTGTTGAACGCTGATATTTTTGTCTCACCTGATTTGGTGTGTATCGACAGCCGTATAAATTTTGCAATTGCGTGGCAAAATGAGTCCAATGCCTAGTTATCCACACAGTACTACGGCTTATTGATTGATTTTTTTGAACCTCGGCTCGCAACATGTTAATGAATTTCATTTCAATTCTAGAACTCCACATTTTTGTATCCTGATTATCATCACAATTGTTACCATCCATCTAACAACACAGAATTTATAACTACAAAAGTCTGAAATGTATATTGAAAAATAACGATGCAAGAAGCGTGTACAAGCTGGTTTGAAAATAATGAAAAATTATTCATTTGAAGTTGTTAACAGCGTAGAGAATAACAGATACACCAAAAACATTGTTGAAATGAAGTTGTTCACAGTATGAAGAAAAACAGATAAAATAATAAAACACAGATTGTTTGTGGCAAATCCCAATTGCATGAAAATAGAAGCACTGAGTGATATATACACAACACAAACGATACCTATGACAGACAACAATAATTTTGAAATATATATATTACAAATTGCACAACCCTATTAACAGAACTGTCATCGTTAATAGCAACAACAATGACAGTGCCCAGACAATTAGTATAATGGAAAATTCGGAAGTCAATTGATATAGTACATTCCCATCCAAACAATCTGTTAGGTTAAGAGTTTTATAATTCATATGCTTGAAGTGGTTGTAGTACTGAACTTTAAATGGAAGGGGTATAACTATGTGCTTATTTTCAGTGGAAAATGCCTACTTACAACTGCATAGATTACGAATCATGGATCATCTAAAATGATTTTTGGTAACACCACCTTGTAATATATGTAAATATATAAATGAATTCCTTCTCTTGTGATCTATTGACTGTTATGGCCATTTTTTGTTTTAGTGTAGAACTTTTGTTTTAGTGTACAACAGATGAATTATTTTTTCATTTATCACAATAACAAGCACTCTGATGCATACACTGAAGCTGAAGTTGTTGAAAGGCTTCACTGACACAGATCTAAGAAAGGAAAATAGGATATCATATATAAAAAGTATGTAAAACAAAAGCTGACTAACAGACTGAGGGCATAAGTGGATAGCATGAGGAGAGCTGGAAAAAGGGTGCCAGGGTCGACTGGCCAGGCGACCGGCAGGACAACCGGTGGGCCGACCGGTGGGTTGACCCGGCGGTTGACCGGTTTGAAGCTTTCACATGTTGGCTTACGACGTAAGCATTACACAACGCAGGCATTACACAGAGCGATTGAAGTATGGATACATATAAGCAGATCAGTTGAAGGCACAGGTACCTGAATAGTAGAAGTACAAAAATTGTCACCGGTGATGGAGTGGGTACTATGCGTTGTTGTGGGCTTCTTCGTCGGTGACCGTCTGATTGGTGAAAAGTTGTGGCAAATTTGGCCTGCACAGATAATTTGAGCATAAATGGAAAAACGATTGAAGGATTCTGAGTTCTAATTGTATATTTCAGAACCATTTGTGATGTAATTCACCTCGTTGTCGTCGTTGTTTCGTTGCTCGAAGGGTGAATCTTCCGCAACGCACAAACTGTAAATCACTTTGGTTATGAGATTTGATGGATCCGATTTTATAGGTAGAGCAGGATTCACAGTCATTGTTACAATTTAGGGGAAGAAGACCACCCGTGAATACAACCCGTGAAGGCTGAATTTCAAAGTTCAGAGAATGCTTTTCAGAATTTCAGTGTGCTTTCCCGTGAAGGTATTCAATGTTAGGATTATTGCTGATCCATATTTTGGACCGTTGAAATTGTGTGCTGCAGAGAAACGAGGGGAAATCGTTGCCAAACAATAAACAGAGTTGTATTTTGAATTGTTTGCTAGAATTATGATTTGAGTTCTGTATCCAAACGTGAAGTGCAAAACGTGGTTTGGAAATATAATTCTAGAACACTTTCAAACAGAGCCCAAAACTTGTCATCTTCATCTCTTCCGGATTGATCTGGTTGGAGAGAAAACCAAAAACTCTACCATATGCTTTTAGATAAATCTGTAAATTCAACATCACATAAATCCCTTTTAACCCCCCTCCCTTCCTCACTTTTCGAAAAACATAGGCAATAATGTACAAAAGTGTCTTTAATATTGAAATATGACTTATTTAAAAATATAGGGTTTTGTTTGGAGTATACCATAGGTGTCGTTTGGGAAGAGCTCATTTGGGCTTTTTTGGCTCTTTGAGCCACAAAAAACAGAATAGGCTATTTGAGCCACAACAGACAAAACATTACATCCAACCCATAATCATTACACTATTCTCTCACAAAAAAAGTCAGAAAAGCCAAAAAGTCAAAAAACCCTTCCCAAACCAAGCTTTTGAGCCCAAGCTCAAATAGTCAAAAAAACAAAAAAGTTAAAAAGTTAACCCACTTCCCAAATAAAGGCTTACTTTTTATATTTTTAGGTCATTATCTTTTTATTTTTTTATACATACTTTTATAAAAATTCAAAAAATTAAGGGCTTGTTTGGTTTGATTTTGGGAGATGAGTTTGGGAGATAAAAAGTACGAAAAGTTGTTTGGTTTGGTTTTTTTGGAAAAATGTTTTGGAAAATTATTTTGAGAGAGAGTTTTGAAAAAAGTGAGTGATTTGATGTGTATGAGAGAGAGATTTGTTTGGAAAACTTGTTTGGTTTACAAGTTTTGGGAAATTTTTTTGGAAAAATTTGTTTGGTTTGAGTTTTTTTAAAAACTCATTTGTAGAGAAATTTTCCCAAAAATTTTTGGGAAATTCAAACCAAACGAACCCTAAATTTATTTAAATCATTCCAAATTTATAAATTAATTTCTCAGCTGAAGTGAATGAGGATGAGTCACAGTACGAGTGGCAAACCCTAACCCCAGTTCATTCTCTCTCTCTCTCTCTCTCTCTCTCTCTTATTCAGTCACTTGTGCTTCTTACTCTGCGGACGCTGTACTCTCTCACCACCCAACAACAACAATGGCGAGAAAACGAAAACTCGTGCCCAAATCGACCGAACCCCAACTCAAGAAGCAGCAAAGAGAAGTACAGCAACTTCAATATTACGCTAAAGACGAACAAGACGATGATCAAGAAGCCATGGATGGAGTAGTAGGACCTGAAGAATACGAAGAAGACCAAGACCAACAACACTACGAAGACGGCGACGACAACGACGACGAAGAACAAGAAGACGATGACGACGAGGAGCCTTTCCAGAAGCTTCTAGAACCATTCAGCAAAGAACAGTTGATTAATTTGCTCTCCGAGGCTGCCGAGAATCACGCCGATGTAGCCAATCGCATCTACAAGATCGCCAACAGTGATCCCTCCCAGCGCAAGATCTTCGTCCACGGCCTCGGATGGGACACCAATTCCGAAACCCTAATCAACGCCTTCAAGCACTACGGCGAGATCGAGGATTGCAAGGCCGTTTGCGACAAGATCTCCGGCAAATCCAAGGGCTATGGATTTATCCTCTTCAAGACCCCCGCGGTGCCCGTTGCTCCGCTTCCGCCGGCGCCGGCGTCGGAGTACACGCAGAGGAAGATCTACGTCAGCAACGTGTCGGCTGATTTGGATCCCC